AAACGAAGATGCTGATCCTCGTTTGTAAATAACCAACTTTGAAGAAAACGAAGGCACGGCACCTGGTTTGAAAACTAACCACCGTAAAAAACGAAGATACTGCCCTTCATTCACCGCAGAAGAAAAGAAAGAAGCTGCATCTCTTTTAAATAGCCCCCCTGAAGAAGGTGCCGAGCCGGCACCTGAACGTTGGGACCCTACGATCTCTTAGGGATTGGTTGGCGTTTTCCCTTTATTTATTTATAACATTTAACCCAACCAGGCAGACGTCTGCCGAAATGTTCACCTTCAAGTCCGCCCAAAGGTTTAACAACACCTCTTTCATACGCTTGGTTGGGGTACCAAAGATATTACACCAATTATTAAAAAAATATAGCCCTTTGAAAAGGTGTATTCGGTGTGAAACACCTTCCATACACCATTATAAATGTCTTGAAGATTACTGTGTGGGCTTGACGAAGTGACGAACACTCGAACGAAAGACGTTTCACGTTAATAAGATGAACGACGGACATTCCAGACGCAGAGCGCATGCATATCGCGAAAGCAAGCGCAGTGAAGCACCAGTGGTATTCACCCTCCGCGTTTCAGAAAGCTCTTTCGCGGGGATTCTGATGACGCAGTGTGCATGGCGGCGTATAAACCTCTGCTGCACTCACGGCTACTCCAGCTAGCGTCTCGAACCATCAGAACGTTATCCGAGGCCTCTGAAGACGCCGTTAGAGCTCGAGGCGCGTTCACGGTACACTAAGTCTATATTTTATGAACACGACCCGCCGTCGTAGACAGCAGCACGTCAGGGCTCTCCTAGCCGGGTGTATTCACGTGTCTGGGATCTCTCACCCTCGGGTTAGGAGAAGACCTCTGGTCAGGACCCTCCCGTCGGGAAAATATATCTCAGTTCAAGGCGGAAAAGCGGGGTTCGGCACGTACCGCGAAATATAAACAAATTACCTAAAAAAAAACGCCGTCACGGCGGTGAGCGGATACACGACATTTATTACACCTGCCCCCCCCCCCCCCCCCAACCCCCTTTCCTTTTTTTTGTTTTCTGCCTGCCCCTGAGAATACATTTCAGTCTGGTTGCGTTCTCCCCAACCTTGATCTGTGTCGGGTGCATGCGCCTGTGTCCTGCAGTGTGTTTTCTATATTACGTGTCATCCCACCGAAAATAAATGCGCACCGCAACTAGACACTTTCGGGAACCCTGTCTGATGTGCATGCATCGTCCTGCATGTGATGTTTCATGTCAGAATCGCATTTACGCCATGTTTGATAGGGTGCTACTTTGGAAAGAGGTAAGAAGGAGGTTGAACAGACCGCCATGGGTCTTTTCGAAAAGCCGCTCAACGATTTCCAGATTCGTTTCATGACTCATAATAAATAACGAGCAAATAACTGGTAACATCGTAAGTACCACAGCACTCAGAAGGAGGAATACTTAAGGCGTTAGAAAATCGGGCAGCATTTTCAGTGAAATCCGTTGCACAGTTCACGATTTTTTTCGGATGAATCTGGAAAAATATTTTTACTGCCGAGTTCCATCTCCGCCTGTGAGACTCAATAACCTCGAACATAAATTCCAAATCTTCAGATTTTGTGAACTTTCAGTTCGAAAAAATGCAATATATTTGAAATGTTCAAACTTGGACGCCAATAAATTTGAAATTTTGGAATTTTTCGAACTAAATTTGTCAAGGAATTCCAAATTGTTGGACTCGAACTTGATAGAACCTCATCATTTCTAAACATTTATATTTTTAACGTAGCTGGACTTGAAGGTTGCGAAATGAGGTTTTACCTTTTTGAAACTTTTCGAACTCGAACCTCGGGAGTTTTGCGGCGTCTCTACTTCCAACCACCATTCCTATGGTGAAAGCCGCGATTCGCGAAAGGCGATTTGAATGACTAGCTGCGTCAGAAAGGGTTTGAAAAATACGTAAATTACGGCTGAAGCTTGAATAAGTACAGATTTATATTGTGCCGAACGTAACTCGTCAGCGGCAAAACAAAAATCTATAAATATATTGGACGGTCGTCGTGCCGAGGGAGTTTGAGGAAGCTGCCCAGCGTTATCAACGGACGGAAAGATTTGGTGTTTCCAAGCGATCAGTTTCTCGCAGATGGCCGTGCATTATACTAGCGGCTATACTTGTGTTAACTCGCAAATTTGTCGTTGAAGCGAGAGGAGAAAGTCTAAAACTTACAATATACACTGCGCGACACTGTTAGCGAGAACATGGCATCAACGATTTTTTCAAGTTTTACATCGAAGGGGTATAAGCGGGAGCAGAAGTCCGTTGGCAATCTTGCGCCGTCCGGGTTGCCAGGTTCGGATGGGGTGACAAACTTCGCTGTGAGAAGCTAAGTGGTTCTTGCGTCACACACGAAGTTGCTTCCCTGTACCGTCGACGATCAACTCAGGTGGGATGAGCGTAACAGTTCTATAAATAATTTAATACCTTCGTAGCAGATAGAAATATATAAACCTACGAACACTGAAAGGTTACTTCCGCAGTACGGCGTTGGGAAGAAGGTATTCGGTTGTTAGCCTAAAACCTTGGGAGTTTGCTGGCTTGTAGGATGAAGTTCTGATTACGGCAATATTGTATCTCGGAATCCCTCGTCAGGGCTCGTTTAGAGCATTGCACAGACTCGGGCTTGCTCGAAAACCCGGGCCCGGCCAAACCCGCGGGCCGGGCCAGGCCGGGCGGCGGTTAAAGCGGATTTTTGGTGGGCCTGGGCCGGACCAGGGCTTTTACCTGCTGGCTCGGGCCGGGCTCGGGCCATCCTTTTGGCGGGCCTAGATCGGGCTCGGGGTTGCGATCCGATCGACGCCCGCCGCCAAGTGTAATAATAGGTATACAGTTTCAGTGCGTAAATGCGGTGTAGAAATAGTTCACCTCGGCTTTGTTAACCCTCAATAAAGCGATATATTTCGTAGCTTATGAAAAGTTGTACTTTGCTTGTTAAGCTTTGTTATATTAGCAGTAACCACGACTAAAAGTATCACATTGTTTATGTAACGAATTCACAAGAGATAGGAATATTACCGTTTCGTAACATGACACCATTACACCCAATATTTGTGCGGTATGAAACATGTAAAAGTGATCTCTTTTCTGGGTCAAACACCAATGGAAGCTGCATTTTCTGCACACGACACGCGATGTTTCCTGGCAGTCATGCAACTTGCACCGTCCTCTTTGTGGCGTCATTATAGGGAAATGTGCGATTTCTTCATGCCGTGCGTCTTTGCAAGGCAGAGGCTTGGCCGGCCCTTTGTGCTTCGTGCCTTCGAAACCGGCTTCAACCTCCTTGGATTGCCGTCCCCGCCCTGGCCTGTCAGCCTTTCCTCTTTTGCAGAGGGCTTCGGATGCTTGTGCCCTGAATAAGCAGAGAAGCGTCACCCTTTTTTTGATGCCTTTGCAATAAAGAAGCAGAGTCGTCAATCATCATGTCCATTGCATGACACGAAAATACTGTGGCACCACTTCTTTGACCGCAAGCGAATGCGATACAACCCAAGGAGAGTTTCGAAGAGGTTAACGTCTCCCATGTTTTTGTTCTAAAGAACGAGAACGCAAGGGTACTCGACACCAATAGTCGTCTTTTCAGCTGATGAAAACCTCTTCACTGTACTTGTGGGATCAACAACAGCAAAGGTCCAAAGGAAGTGAACTGGCGAGTTGTCATGCCACTCTGTGACTTCCAAGACTACCCTATCTACAGTATTTTATATAGCAGCGACAACGCTAAGGCCTTCTTACTTCAGTTCTTTTTCTGTTCTGAACTTGCATTCATGGAGTTCTGTTTACTCGTACTGTGCCAGTGATCTATGCCTCTTTCCGAAAGGTGGACTTGCAGTGAGGGGACATATATGTCGAAAAGGCAAACAGCGCACAGTAAACGGGGACTAAAGGAAGTGCAAACAGGACAAGCGCTGACTCTCAACAAATATGTCCCACATTTTAGCGCTGGCTTCGAAGCTTCTAAATCAGCTATGGTTTTTTTTTTTTTTTTATTATTTTGTTCCAGTTTTGGTGGTGCTGCCATCTCGCGGAAAGACAGGGTATTGCTGCACATACTTCTCTGAGCGGCCGGTAGATAGCAGTAGACTCCAAAAAAAAGTTTGAAAAAATATTTTCTGTAAATGTCACGCCGTTTTTTTTTTTTTTTTTTTTGCTCATAAGCAGGCAGCTCTACTTTTCATCTCAAATGCCTGGTAAGTGTCCCCGTTTGCGATTTCATTGACCAATATTTCTAGGTGATGTCCAGAAAAAGTGAGTGCGATCCTGTAAACGGTAAATATAAAAAACTCGATACGCGTGAAGGAGTGTAAATCTGTGCGCCGGTCTTCTTAGGCCTAACGGAAAAACAGTGTCGGCTGTTTCGCTTGGGGTGGTGTTCGGCTGTCACGCGCGGCGGTTTATCCAGGATTCTCACTTTCTCAGGGTGTTACAAACTTACAGGGGTTTACGGGGGCGGGTGGGGGGGGGGGGGGCGGGGGAGGAGGAGGGGATTCGGGAGGTTTATATATGTTTAGTTTGGATTTAAAAGTCTGTGGTGGTCTTGGGTACAACCTCGTGCTGGATTTCGGGTGCATGTTGGGCGCTTGTGATGGCACGGTGTCAGAATTCTGACTCGGGGTGGGGGTTGAGGGGGGCGGTGGGGGGGGGGGGGGGGGGTGGCGGGCGGGGGCGGGCTACGTGTATGCGTGTGCTGAATTTCTGAACCTGTATAATTTATAAATTCTAGGGTGAATACGTCTGATCTAGCAAGAAGCCGTTGACCTTCTATTCAACCTCCCTGACGATCCAAACTCAAGCGGGCAGGATGGGGATTCTTCCTCAAGCGACGAGAATTTTTATCTCGCACCAACTGATGAGAAATATGCAGAACTAGAAGCGCCCTCCCCCAGCAAGGGTAAGAAGAGGAAGGCATACCAGTAGAAGAGGCCTAAAGAGAAGCAACGTGCCTCCCTTGAAAATACAGATGTGATGGGCGAAGATGAAATCGAAGACGGGCATTCTGTTAGAAGCACGGCTAAGCCCTCAAAAATTGTGACGACACCGAAGACGTGGGATCCCGTTTACTCAACCAAAACTCCTACGAAACCGATTGATGCTTTGAAGCTTTTCTTTGACTCTGAAGTGATTGAGCTGATCGTAAGCGAAACAAACCGCTATGCTCAGCAGAACAACCGACACGACTGGCGCGACCTGGAAAAGAGTGAACTTGAGGCATTCCTTGGGATGCTCCTTCTTATGAGCGTGAATCCGATGTACCACTTTTACCTGTATTTGGACAGCGATAGTTTTTTCGCAAACCACGAAATATTGGGCGTGATGACTCTGAAAAGGTTTCAAGACATACTGAACTGTCTGCATTTGAGTGACAACACTAAAGAGAAGAAAAGAGGCGAAGACGGCTACGACAAACTCTGGAAGGTGAGGCCCTTGATTGAGGCTCTGAACCAGCGGATTGTCACTTAGTACACACCGTCAGCCCGAGAGGCAATCGATGAGAGGATGGTTCTCTTCTAAGGGCGCTCTTCCCTCAAACAGTATTTACCAATGAAGCCTATAAAAGGGGCTACAAGATCTGGTGCAGGGCGGGCTCGGAAACGGGTTACCTGGTGCAGTTCCATGTCTACGAGGGCAAGAACTCAAAACGGCCACCTGGTGTCGCGCTCAGGGAACGCGTCGTTCTGACTCTTTCGAACAACAAGCTGCCTGGCAGCCAGTTGTATTTTGACAACTTTTTTTCAACCCCAAGGCTCATGGAACAACTTCCATAACGTGATATACTAGCAGCAGGAACACTTCGAATCAACAGGAAATATCTTCCAGAGGAAGTGAAGCGCGACAACAAGCTCCAGAAAGGAGAACACGTTTGGCGCTCAAACGGACAAGTAACGGCCTATCAGTGGCGGGACAACAAAAATGTGCATGTGCTGTCAAACTTTCATGACCTTGACGAGACCACTGAAGTGTCACGCAAGCTTGCTAATGGATCGGTAATGGGCGTGAGCTGACCTAGGGCCATTTCAGACTACAACGCGTCGATGGGCGGCGTGGACAGATTTGACCAGCGGCGCACCAGCTACCAGGATGACCGACATTCAAAGAAGTGCTGGCTTCGGCTATTTTATTTCTTGTTGGATGCGGTTGTTGTGAACGCATTTCTACAGTTCACAGCTGTCCAGGACACTAAGTTCATGTGGTTTCGTTTGGTTCTGGGGTGTGAACTCATCAAAGGAAACACCTTCAGACAACGGCAAGACGTAGGAGCATTCCGAAACTACAAGAGAAGGAAACAGGGTGGTCAAAAGATGGTGGGAGTCCCAGGCGAAGTGCGGTTCCTGGGTAATGACCATTACCCCCAGCGAAGCTCATCAGGAAAAAACTGCCGCTTGCGTTCTTCAAGCAAGAAGGAAGCACGCGCAAACTACGAGCGTGAAAAATGTCGCGTGCCTCTCTGCGTCGAGTGTTTGGCTCCCCTCCACAAGCAGAAGTAATGGAAGTGAAGTAGTGAGCTCTGAGATGTTCGAAGTGAGGCAAAATCAATATTCCCCCAATAAATAATTTTCACATTCAATTGAAAATTGTCGTGGGTCATTTTGATCCCACATTTTCAAAGCAGTCAAAAAATCAATGGGACATATGTGACCCGGCACCATGACATAACAGCACACGACATAACAGCACGCGACAAAACAGCGCGGTCAAAACAGCACGCGTCAGAACAGCACAGCGTCAAAACAGCACGGCGACAAAACAGCACGCGTCAAAATAGTACACGACAAAACAGCACATCGTCAAAACGGCACAGCGACAGAAGAGCACGTGCCAAAACAGCACGGCGTCAAAACAGCACGACGTCAAAACATCACAGCGTCAAAACATGACATTGACAATATAGCTAGTGTTTGGCGTTTTCGCTTTGTATTATTTGAAATTCCGCGCACTTTTTTTTCGGTTTTTATTCCAAACAAGAGTTTTCGGTTTATTGCGGTGAATATTTGTAGACTCATAAACTTCTCAGTTATATTAGGTTTATTGATGAAAACCAGTATACTAACAAAAATGCAATAATCAAAAGGGTTTTGTGTAAAATGTATATTGAGTACCAAGTACTGGTCTTCTTATTTGTTGCCGTCTTTGGCAGCCGACGCGACCTGTTCTGTAAGACGCACTGGGGCCTTATCGTGATCTGACATTGTCGTGGTGTGCTCGTATTTGTACACAGGACGAGCATGAGCTTCAGTACCACTTCGGTCGGAGAGGCAAATATCAAAATGTAGAAATTAGCAAGCATCGTACTCGGTGCGTTTTCTCCCATTTTCACGACTGCGAGAGGTTATAAATTTGCGCCGACGGCAGAAATGATAATGAAACACTCGTATTTATGCCCTCCTCTAGTAGACGGAAGCTAGGGGTGTTAAACAATGCGCGGTATTTACGGACGCTCTTGATTTCTGTTGTTTGATTGCACGATTAAACTCTCTTCTTTTAACAAAGAATTCGGCACAAATCCCCATCAGGTCAAAAAACCAGATTTTGTCCTGAAGACCCCTGCGCCCCCGGAGCTTTTGTTGAAAGCTGAACCGATCTCGCAGACAAGCTGAAAACTGCGAAAGGAAGTGGTCATGCGGTCAGTAATGAGTAGGGTTCCGTGTTTTCGGAGTTTGGTTTTTGTCAAGTTCGGTGGGTGTGTTTCTGAGTTTATTTTTTTCCGAAAATTCGGAGTTTATCGGAGTTTATTTTTGTTTGATTCCGAATTTTCCGATATTCGGAGCTCAATTTCGCAGTGTTTCTTAGTAAAATAAGCACATAATATCCAAATGTAAACGCATGCTGGACAAAAAAGAAAAAAAAAAAAAACGCGATTGTATCAATTAATATTTTCTTCAGTTGGATTTGGCGTTGGTGAAATTACTACTGGCAATACTAATTTGTCCTAGAAGAAAAGTGATACACAAGTGTTATTTCGATAAATGTCGATACCTTAAAATCAATAACCTACCGGAGGTAGTCGCTGGGAAGCCTGTATTCATTCCATGCTATTCCATCAACCTACCGCGCGGCCGCAAGAGGTAGAGTGGAAAAGGATGAAATAGAGAAGTTTCAACTGTCTTCTTCCCCACTTTATGTAATTTCTATGGTCCATAGCTTTCACGGTTACAAAAACACAACCTCTCCTTTCTCTCGGGCACAAATAGTATGACCCGAACCGGAAACATAAACAGTGACTTTTGTCTTGACCCGATAGTACATTGACCGGTTGTCCTGACCGAAATTCGAAAGATATGTGTGGTGGCATTTTCCCAGGACCAATTACTCTACGCGCTGATTAAACCATTAATTGTAAAATATATTTGTGTGTGTGTGTCTGTGTGTGGTATGTGTGTGTGTGTGGGGGGGGGGGGGAAGGATTGGCACATCGAAATTCAGAGTTTATGAGATAAATCCGAATAGACGAAACTTTTACCGGCGGGTTTTTTTCGAATTTATCCGAAAACACGAAACCCTAGTTATGGGTCACATTCTCCCTCCCCCCCACCCTTCCCCCATACACACACCACTGCAAACGCCCTCGAACATACTGAACTTTTTCAGTTAAGACCGATTTTGTAAAAATGAATTCGGCGTACTTTTACCGGTTTTATTCGGTTTAAGCCGAAAACGCTGGACCCTAAATATAGCTAGGGCTCCGTGTTTTCCGAGTTTATTTTTCGTCGAATTCGGAGGGTGTTTTTCGGAGTTTACTTTTTGCCAAAAATTCGGAGTTTATCGGAGTTCATATTTTTTTTATTCCCAATTCTCCGAAATTTGGAGTTTAATTTCGCTGTGTTTCCTATTAAAAACAAATAAATAAATAATAACGGAATGAAAACGTATGGCAGATAAAAAATAAAACGCGCTTGTATCATTTAAAAAAAATTTCACTCGAATTTGGCGTTGGTGCCGTTGCCATTGGCAATACTAATTTATCATCGAAAAAGGACACATACAAGGGGCGCTTCGATAAACACCGATACCTTAATATCAATAAACTCCCGGAGGTAGTCGCTACACTCCAAGACACGTCTGCGCGTCTACTTACCGGCAAAACACTCAAAGAGCCAATCTCTGCGATCTGCGAAATCAGCTCAGTGAATGATGAGGCGGAACATCCGTTTAGATCTAAAAATGAAGTCTGCGCTGTGGCATTACGCAATGCAAAGCGTCATGCTTGCATTCGCTGTGGCATTACGCAATGCAAAGCGTCATGCTTGCATTGCGAAACGCCACAGCGTAGTCTTACTTTCGAGGTCTAAACGGATGTTCCGCCTCATCATTCGCTGAGCTGATTTCCTAGATCGCTGAGATTGGCTGTTCGAGTGTTTTGCGGGTAAGTACACACGCAGGCATTTCTTAGAGCGTAGGAAGCTCGTAGTCATCTCATCTTATTCCATATATTTAGCCCGCGGCCGCGCGAGGTGGAGTGGTTAAGGAGGTAATAGAGAGTTTGAACTGCCTCTCTTCCCTTTTTTATACAATCTCTATGATCCATGCGCTTTGACTGTTACTAAAACATACCCTTTCCTTTCTTTAAATCACAAATCGGATAGCTCCAACTGGAAACCAAAAGAGTGGCTTTTGTCGTGACCCGAATGTACAACGAACGCCCTGTTGCCCTGAATCAACCTTGAAGAGACAAGCGGCAAGACCCCTTTTGACAACGGTCCGAGATTTGAAAGATAATTATGGTGGAATTTTCTCAGGACCATTGATTCTGTGCTGTTCAAACTGTAAAAACAAATATAGGTACTTTAATTTCTTTTTTGCCGGGGGGAGGGAGGGGGAGGGGGGGGAGTGGCATTGACACTTAAATATTCGGAGTTTATTGGATAAATTCCAATTGACCAAACTTTTACCGGCGGGTGTTTTTCGGAGTTTTTCGGATTTATCCTAAAACACGGAGCCCTAAATATAGCTTTTGAAGTTAAAAAATGCACGTCTCAAATAAGGCACTGTAAAGGAATTGAGGTTCTAGGCCAATTCGTCGAAAGCCAACTCGTCGACGGACAATTTTTCGAATCTGTTCTTTTGGAAGCAAGTTCGGAGTGGGGAGTGTACTCGTTAAGCGCATGACGGTTCCCTGGGCGGTACCGAAGCCCCCGCTGGTGCGTATTCTGGCTATTTTGTAGCGTGAGCTACACTGACCGAGGTTGAGCAGTTTCGCGTGGTTCGCATAATGAGCCGTGCTCCGTGCTGCGCATGCGCGAGGAGCAGTGACGTCACACGGCGCTTAGGTGGTAATTACGAAACGACGAGTACTACGGAACCTCACCGGACCGCCACAAACCAGGCAGTTCGTAACTTGAACTTATGGATATCTTTTTCCCAATAACTTTTCCTCTTTTCCTGATACTTCAAAAAAGACCAGACAACGCAGCCAACATTGACGCGAAGGTATCCCCTTTAACTAGCCAATTTCTTCAGAGATT